GAAGACCCTCTATGAGGTGGATTGATTCAGTGACTGGGGTAATCGGGATGGGTGTGTCGGAGGCAATGAGATTGGCACAGGATAGAGCAGGGTTTAGGACTGTTGTACCATAGGGTCGCTATGAGTCGCAAACGACTCGACGGCACATGACAACAACAACAACTTTATATTGGCTTGCATACAGTTTGTATGCATTGTGTTTCACACTATTCTTCATTCACATTGTGTTTTATATAATCATTCCCATTCATTTTGTTTTATAAAATTAATCAATATTGGATGATGCCCTCCATTGCCCTGTCTTTTCAGGTCCCCACAGGATCTTTCCCATTTCCTTTACCCTCTCCATCTACTCATCAAATTATACAACCATGTGATTTTGCCTCTACCCATCTGACCATTCTGCTCCCACCCCTTTCCTTCTTGGATCACCATTCATGTTTTATTATTTATCCTTTTATTTTTATAATAATGGTCTTATGCAATATTTGTCCTATGAGTCTGAATTAGTTCATTTCAAGTATCTCCCAAATTATGTAGTATTTTTCAAAATCATTTTTTCTCAATGCTGCATAATATTCCATTGTGTGAATGTACCACAATTTTTTCAATCTATGCAGTTGTGATTGGACATTTGGACTCTTTCAATGTTCTTGTGATGGTGAATAATGCTTTTACGGACATTGGTGTACAAATCTCTGTTTGTGTCTCAATTCTAATTTCCTTGGAGTACATTCCTAGTAGTGGAATAGCTGAGTCATGCAAAGTTTCTATGTTCAGGTTTTTTGAGGAAACACCCAACTGTCTTCCAAAGTAATTGTACCATTTTACAATCCCACCAACAGTGCATGAGAGTTCCCACATCTCCAACACTTATTGCTTGCTGCTCTGCTAAACCTTCCCACTGCCTCTGGAGTGAGATGGTATCTCATTGTGGTTTTGATTTGCATTTCTCTTATTTCCAATGATTTTGAGCATTTCATCATGTGTCTGTCGGCCATCTGAATGTCTTTCTTTGTGAAAATTCTTCCTAAGTCTTTTGCCCGTTTTATATTGGGTTATTAGTGTTTTTCTTCTGGAGGCCCAGTAGTATTCTGTAAATTTTTGTTATGAAACTCTTTTCTGAGATGGATTAGGCAAATGGAAAACTAAATTTTTAAAGATACATTTGAAAGAAATTATTGGAAGTATGTGTATGTGTTGTATGCATTAATATTATGGCTAACAGTGAGAAGAATGGAAATCCCTGAACACTTAATTTTGACCCAGAAGCAACCCAAAAGTACATGGTTCATACACCCACTGCTCTATAGGAGAGAGACAGGCAAGCTCTTCCTGTGCAACTAACTGACTGACAACCCACTGGAGGGTCTGCTATGGGTCAGTTCTAATTCAAATACACGACAATTCCTAGACCAGGAGGCTGTTGTGTGAACAGAGCAAGGGAACACTGTATGGTTTAAAATCAAGAAAGGTGTGCATCAGAGCTTTATCCATTCTCCATACTTATTCAACTTGTATGCAGAGCAAATCATCTAAGAAGCTGGACTTTACAGAGAAAACTGTAGCATCAAAATTGGAAAAAGATTCATCAAAAATTTGTGCTATGCAGATGGCACAACCTTGCTTGCTAAAAGTGAGGAAGGACTGAGTCACTTATTGTACAGGGACAAAGACTACAGCCTACATCATAGATTATGTCTCAATATCAAGAAAACAGAAATCTTCACCATAGCCCAATAGGAAACATCATGATAATTGTAGAGAAGATTAGAATGGTTAAAGATTTCATCTTTCTTGGATACACAATCAACTCCCTTGGCAATAGCAGTCAGGAAATAAAAAGATAAACCAGCTATTTACTCAGCTTACCTGTATGTGTCATTACAGAAATATTTTTAAAGCTGGTAATATTAAAGCCATGTTATAAGCCTTAATGATAATTGAGATCATTACAGTCCCTAAAACTGACTACATCTGAAAAAAAAAAATCCAAAGTCATGTTGCATTAGGTAAGTCTGCTGTCAATGTCCTCTCCAAGTTACTGAGGAGCAGTGATGTCAGCTGGGAGACTAAGGTGTATCTGATTCAACTGTGGTCTTTTCAATTACTTCCTATGCATCTGAAAGTTGATTAAGGATGACAAAAGATAATTCCCTTCAATTTGTACTGTTGGAAAAGAGTATTGAGTATTTCATGGACTACCAAAAGGACCATGGTGGACAATGTTTGGTGGAGCTCCTGATTAAAACAAGCTTGGAAGCAGGAGTGGCATCCACTTCCTTAATAGC